TAGATTAAAAGCAATTAGGAGAAAAACACAACCAAGTGACAGCAAGACAGGATAAATCAACATCAATAAACTAATAAACCAATTCCTCATAGGAATCATGGAATTAACACAGTGCACAAATTATCGATCGCTCTATCACAGTCGGCAGAATGAGCAAACAGATTGTCCAAGTAGACGACACACTGGCTGCATAAGATGTGGGCCAGGGCTCTCTCCATCAGCAATTTGAACATGAATGGGGCATTACACAGGCCAAACAGCATAACCCAGAAGTGCCACAGACTCTAACCACCAATAAATGCAGTCTTGGGTTGGGCATCTGGGGCAAGTTTGACCTACTATTATCCACTTTCAATATCCAAGCAGTTGTACCATGTCGATCTAGTGATGTGATTCAGTGCATTTTCAATCTGGTGCAGCAAGTACAAGTCCTTCTGAGTCATGGCGTTCAGATGCTCGATGTCTACACAAAAATGCCACCACCCTTCAATCTTCTTTACCATGCCTGCTGGTGCAACTTATGGCTCAATGACTCCTGCTGCCATGATTTCCTGGATTTTCTGCTCACTGATTTCATTGCCAACCTGAGATCCCACTTCTAACGCCATTGTGGAAAGTTCATGGGGTTGTGTTGTTTTTAATAAGGGAAATGACAGCTCATTGAAATGCAAGTCCTGACGTTTATTTAGCCTATCACTGCCACCGTTAAACAAGCAGCGGAACACACAGGGAAGCCAGCAGTTAAAGAACTGGCATTTGAGGTCAGATGCTAAGGAAAACACACACAGTTCATAAGAAAACATCTACTGACAATGTAAATACATGAATACCCGAAGTAAATTTGGCAGGGCCAGAAACATTTTGAAGGACCCCTTACATCCTGGTTTTCACCTGTTTGACCTGTTACACTCTAATAGGCGCTTCAGCCCCATCAAACCAAGGACATACAGACTCAGGGACAGCTTAATTCTCAGAGTCATAACAGCAGTGACCTTTAACCTGAACTGACCATCTCTCTCTCTGTCTCTCTCTCTCTGCCTCACAAGTGCAATATTTGCTCACTGTGCAATACGCATATCATGTACACATATTTATATACTTTTTATTCAGTAGTATTTATTTGTATTACCCTCTGTAGTTACTGTGTAAATGATTGAATGTTTGTTTTTCGTTGTATCTGAAGGAGTAGCTGCTCTGCAATTTCATTATATATGGTATAGTGACATTTAAAGGCTTTTAATTCCAATTCTAATTCTAAATTACCATGTTAACACATGCTAGCACTGTAGCACAAGGTATGCCAATAACTTTAATAATTAATCTTAACTGACCAGCACTCACCATACAAAGATACATATTTGATGTTAATTAGACCTTTGAATAATCATATTATGAGGTTGTTGAGGTCAATAATCAGCCCATGGCTGAGATGAGGAGGGTGTGTCCACTAAAGTAGGACTTCTCTTTCTCGGTCATCTCCTCCAGGTGCAGTGGTTGCTGGCAGAGTTTACACGCTGCGGACGACCGTGTCTTCAGCTGGAGGCCAACCTCCTTCCAGGTGCTCACCAGTTTCTCTGTGGGATATAGAAGAGAGTGGGAAAAGGTACCAAGAAACCTACTGACAGCTAAAACTAAAAACACGTGACAACACCTTACCAACAAAAAATTCCATCATCTGAGGAGTGTGGTGGGGGGTGGGGGCAATGCGGAGAAGCTCCTCCCCCCGGGACACTGTTGGGTAATTGATTGCTTGGACATAGATATTGTATCGGCTCATCATGATGTCACAGATCTCAGTGTTCTTCGGTGCATCTGAAACCTTGAAGTGGTAGAAGAATGATTTAAAAACATCTGAACAGCGTTACAATTAACCAAGTGAATAGCACTTTTATCTCGCATATCTAGGGTTTATGTTTCAAATTCTGCATCTGCTCTGCTCTCCTGTGTGGAGTTTGCAGGTTCTCCCCATCTCATGCAGGTTTCTTGCTATAATCTAAAGGTATGTAGTATGTGTGCTTGTGTACTTGATGGATCAATAACTAGGTCGTATTCCTTCCTTGTGCCCTCCTGCGACCCTGCTCAGGATAAGCAGTTGGAACAAGGATGGGTGCAACTAACCAGAGTCCAAAGAGTACTCACCCTTATAGGTATAATGTGACTGGGACTCTGGATCACAGGCAGGCCTGCATCCATGAGCATCTGGCGAATCAGCTTGACGTTACGCTGGTGCCGCAGCCTGAGCACACGGCCCTCGTCGCCCATCAGGGTCTGTATGGATTCCCTTGCACCGGCCAGCAGCATCGGTGGCAATGAGGTGGTGAAGATGAAGCCTGGGGCGTAGGACCGCACCGTGTCCACCAGTGCACGAGTGCTGGCGATGTAACCACCCACACAACCAAAGGCTTTCCCTACATGGACGGCAGAATGGCTTCCATTGGTTCCTGTGCCCGATGTTCATTCACCAGACTAAATGTGATCTCTCAATAAATCTTCCAATTCCTATCAATCCCAACATGTCACGTTTGTAATAGTACCACGGCCCACTACAATATTCAATGATAATATGATAATTTGAAACTTTTTGGCAAGGGTGTAGGTTTGGTTTCAACATTGATAGAGACCAAATCAGGCCTGAACTCCTCACAAACACACGTTACTTCCACAATATTGGTAGGGACATTTCCCTACTGTCTGTATCCAAATCTACATCTTTTCTTTTTAGGTACATTTACTTAAGAGATATTCCCAATGAATAACAAAACAATGAAACAATGAAAGCTGTTTAAGATTGTCTCCAACACAAAGGCCAATTGAAGTTCTAGTTCCTTACCAAGTGTCCCAGAAATTATATCCATTTTGTGCATGATCTTATCTCGGTCTCCAATTCCACCTCCTCGCCCTCCGTACAGGCCAACAGCATGAACTTCATCGACGAAAGTCATGGCGCCAAACTCATGGGCAAGATCACATATATCCTCAAGCGGACACACACTCCCTAAAAAATACCCAAGGTGTCATGCATCCAAAGGTTGTTACTTGCATTCACATCCAATTGAAACACATCTGTGTTTCCTAGGTACACTGCAGCAAGTTCTTAATGAAGTTACTTCAGTGAGTACTTCAAACAACAGAAATGGTACCATCTTCTATTGTCTGGTCATTTGCAATTGCATTGACCATGAAAGACACAAAGTATACCTACCATCCATTGAATGTACTGTCTCAAAAGCGACAATCTTTGGGGTGGATGGGTTGGATTTCTCCAGGAGCTCACGCAAGTGAGCAACATCATTATGACGGAAGATGAACTTGCATACTCGACTATTCCTGATTCCCTGGATCATAGAAGCATGATTGCCAGCATCGGAGTAGATCTCACACCCTGGTAGAAATATTTTTTAGCAAATACATACAAAGACCTTTAGCCTTCGGTTATTAACCTAATTTTGCTACGGTACCTGGCAGCAATCTCGCTAGAGTGAACAGAGTGGAATCATTAGCCACAAAGCAGGATGAGAAGACCAGTGCAGCATCTTTGCCATGCAGGTCTGCCAAATCGCGTTCAAGTTCCACGTGCAGTTTACTTGTCCCAGAGATATTCCTGGTGCCTCCGGCTCCGGCACCATGATTCCGCAAAGCCTCCCTAACGACAAAGGACAGCACACATGGTCTGAATGTCTATACGTGTATAAACTGTTTTTGCAATCCAAGGCCCTTTTCAGAAAAACATTTTAATTAGCATCTAAATAACACACAAACCTGGGGTGACTTTCTGTATAAATGATTACTTCAGTAAAAGAACTGAGAACAGCTGAGGATAAATAAAATTCTGTAGTACTGAAGGTAGTACTACATTTTGGTAATGATTATCTTAATTAGGATAATGACAAACATATCCTGTAGGTCCCAAGGGAATTCTGTGGCCTAGTGCTGTATGTTCTAATCCAGGGGTGGGCAATCTTATCGCAAAGGACCGCTGTGTATGCAGGTTTTTGTTGCAACTCCCTAATTAGATTACTAATTAGAGGACTGATTGGCTGAGGAGTCCTCACACCTGGGTTTGAACAGCTGACCTACTGGTTATCCCAAAAAACCGCATACACAGCGGTCCTTTGCGGATAAGATTGCCCACCCCTGTTCTGACCTGTTCCAGCCCTCTGCTCTGAAGTTGTGAGTTAACAATGTTACACATGAACTCAATAAATATCACAAAACTTTCCAAGTGAAAGTGAAATAATTTGGATTGATCAAAAATAACCTCTAATGTTGAAACACCCATAGTAATGAGCAGGGGAAACTCAGGGACAACTTAAGGACATACATGATAGAACGGACAACCCGTGGGTGTCGGCTCATTCCCAGGTAGTCATTGCTGCACCACACAGACACCTCACGTGGCAGGGAGAGAGAATCCGAATAGTCATACGCCATGGGGAAATGGTCGGCTTTCCTGTTCACAGTCTTAAAGACCCGGTAGCTGTGATCCTTCTTTTTATCTTCAATTTTCTTCTCAAAGAATTTGTCATAAGAAAAATTACAGAGCGCTGCAAAAGATTGAGATGGTTTGGATAAAATATATTATGAATAACAGTAAAACATGGCATCAACAAACATTTAGCTAATTTAAAGACCTTGATTTTACCAAGGTTTTACTGTGCCTGTTAACTCATTTTCAGCATAAAAGTATATGGCATCAATAAACACAGCACTGCATAGATGTTAAAATATCTATATGCAAGAGAAAACTGGCAAAATTTTGTACTAAATCAATAAATAATGAGCAACTACAGTTGAAGCTTTCAAAATGATTACCACAAAGATAATGTCACTGCAATTACGAGCACGACTCTCACTCTTGGGCATGTTGTTCTGCACTAGGTGAGGCAGCCCTTGGGGATGCTGCCTTAGCAATTTTCTTAAAAGACTCTGTTGCACCACTCCATCTTCCTTGGTGATGTTGACCACACTGGGATTCAGAGAGGATTCAGCCAGTTCTGTAGAACAACAATGATGTCATCCACTGGCTGCTGGTAAGAACCGTGTGGTTCCTTCATGTCATGCCCGAAAAAAGTTTTTCGGCTGACTTTTTCCAGTCATCACTTAAACTAGACCATAATTCAGCCCTTTTTTTCCATTCATTACCTGATGATTCAAAGAAAACCACCCACTGGTTTTTTTTCACTAATTGTGCAGGTGTTTAGGTATCTCCTAGCCTATCTTTAAAAATATTACTTAAACTTCAAATGAATCTGATTCCAAATTATTTAAATTTAGGTATTTTTAAGGCATGTAAATTTTATTACAATATACACCGACTAGCCATAACATTAAAACCATGTGCATAATATAATGATGGTACCAAAACAGCACTGATCCATCGAAGCATGACCTCCACAAGACCTCTGAAGGTGTCTTAAGGAATCTGGCACCAAGACATAAGCAGCAGATCCTTTAAGTCCTGTAAATTGCAAGGTGGGGGCTCCATGGATTGGATTTGTCCCTCAGACAAACCTCACCTTGAACTCTTTTTCATGTTCCTCAAACCATTCTTGAACACTTTTTGCAGTGTGGCAGGGTGCATTATCCTGCTGAAAATGGCCACAGCCATCTGGAACAACTGCTACCATGAAGGAATGGACTTGGTCTCCAACAATGTTGAGGTAGGTGGTACATATCAAAGTGACATCCACATGAATGCCAGAACAGAACATTGCCCAGAGCATCACACTGCGTCCGCCGGCTTGCCTTCTTCCCATAGTGCATCCTGGTGCCATCTCCTCCCCAGGTAAACGACACACATGCACCTGGCCGTCCACAGGATGTAACAGAAAAGGTGACTTATCAGGACAGGGCCGCCTTCTTCCAGCGCTCCATGGTCTGACGCTCATGACGCTTTCAACACTGGGCAGGGGTCAGCATGGGCACCTGAGCGGTCTGCAGAGCGGTCTGCTGAGCGGTCTGCAGCTACGCAGTCCTACACTCAGCAAGCTGTGACGCACTGTGTGTTCTGACACCTTTCCATCAGAGCCAGCATTAACCTTTTCAGAGATTTGTGCTACAGTAGCTCTTCTGTGGCATTAGACTTTCGCTCCCCATGCGCATCAATGCATCAGTACTTTCACAAAGTCGCTCAGATCCTCACGCTTGCCCACTTTTCCTGCTTCCAACACATCAACTTCAAGAACTGACTGTTCACATAACAGATACCATTGTAATGAGATAATCAGTGTTACAGTATTCACTTCACCTGTCAGTGGTTTTAATGTTATGGCTGACTGGTGTAATTTAGGGTTATCTTGATTACTTACGAACATTTCTTTTAAGTAAACTCGCTTGGGATTCGCTTTCACCAATCAAGCAATAATCGGATACAAAATTAAACCAGTTTTATCGCAGCTTGTGGACCACAGGGTAGTTTAAAACTATTATAGTGTCAATATGATCAAGTCAGATCAGGGACAAACATAGTTCAGTGTGTCGGAATAACTTGACTCAGAGTCTGCAAGGCAGTTTATCACTGTACAATGTTATGCAGCCACTCAGCTCCAGTTTAACCGATCCAGGTGGTTAGTCAGAAAGCCATGTTATTGCCCCTGACTCCTAGGCTAATGCGGTAATGTGTACTGATCCTGGCCAGACATTGTGGCAGCTTCACTCCTATGACTCTCCCAGAGACAGTCATTTCAGAGAAGCAAGAATTACTCAAAGTAATTTACTTGCTAGGCAGTCATATCACACATCAGTTACAATTCAAAGCAAAATATAAAGTGGCAACTTCACTACATGAAATAACTATAGCAAAGATGCAAAACAATATAGAGTACTGTAATATCCAAGGTAAGATACGATAAGTATGGGGGAGTTCAGATTGCAGATCTTTCTTCTTATGGAATCCTTAAATAACACACCAAGTCAAAGAGCCCCACTGAGGTTCTTTGAACAACATGCAGGCGCAGCTTTCCAACCGGGCAAAACTTTCCAAAGTTCCGTAACATTTAAAAAATAAGACTGATATTGGTTGCTAGTCACAATGAGAGCATTCAAGTGAGACAGAAAAGCATGGACATAAAACAATGTTTCTCGTGTCTAGCATTCTAGCAAAAAGTTAAGATGAGAGGGAGGGAGGAAGGGAGGGGAGGCTGGTGAGAACAGGCTTGTGAGCCGCTTGTAACTCGGTGGGAATCGTGGTGGGTTTGGTTGGATATACCAGAGTGAATTTGTAAGTCCCGTCTGGTTAGAGCCAACCTGACAGTTACCCTTGAGGGGAGACATGAGATAGGCCCAAAGCAGTTCAGGGTCACAGGTTCCAGAGTCAGTCTTATGCTCTTAAAATTATAGTCATTAAATCATCAATATATTTTTTTAATTGTAACCATCCAACCATTTCTGCACTGCTCTGACTTGTTGCAGAATTGTGCAAATGTTGCAGAAATATGGGCAATTAAAACTAAAACCGTTGGCTAATGTAGGCCAGCGGAAATGCTTTAGCCAATCACATATGTGTATTCCAGCTTTCATGGCTATTTATGAATGATTCAGAGTTCAGGATACAGGGCTATGAGGATAGAATTACCTGTGCGAACAGCTTGAATCTCCTGTACGTCTTCCTGAAGCTCAATCCTGGCCTTCCTCACCACACTGCTCTTCCTCTCCTCCATCTCTGACACCAGAAATGGGCACTTGGAGGCCATAGTCTCATCCAGAGGAGTGGCAGGGTGCCCAGCAAGCTGCTCTATGACGGGCTCTGGACCTACGCATGGTTTTTCGCCATTACAAATTTAAAATAGACAAAGTTGCACAGGCTTATCATTATATTAACCTCAAATCACATAAAATGATTTTGAGATAAAGCTTATTGAATATAATACCCTTATGGAATGCAAAACTTTCTGAAAATGATCCAGCTACATGGAAAATTATTTCTGGGATGGTTGGAATCTGCTCACCATAACTGTTGGATGGAGTCTCCTCTTTCTTCTGCAGGCTGGTGGTTGAGAAAGTGAAAGCACAAGCAGGAGCCCTGGATGGCAGCTTTACCATCATGGGACACCTCTGAGCATAGACCACTAAGGTCCTCCCTGCCTGCTGGAGCAGGCCCTGGGGCGTCCGGGACAGGGAGGGGCAGCACCGGATCACAGTGTCCATCGCTGACTGCATGTATCTAAAAACCGCAATGGGGAAATGGTCACCTGGAGATTCCCCAACCAGTGAGGAAAAATGTAACTAATTTTATGGACTCCTTGACGTTCACCCATCAGCAATAATATTATGGCAAGATTTTTTTTTTTTAAGTAAATAATATCAAAACATAAGAAGCAAAGAATATCAGCCACTTTTTTCCAGTGAAGTGCACACAGCCAGCATCCATGAAAAGACACCCACAAAATACGCATCCCCAAAACGGTGGGGGGGGGGTTGGTACACATCATTGTGTAACTTTAAACTCCCCATTCTTTTCTTATAGAGCACAGAAAACACAGAAAACGCCTCTCACTCCCTCCCCCCCCAAAGGCAGCGTCAGCTGCTTGTGACACTACCGTAACTACCGCTGAACTCCACTTCAAAAGCTCTTCAGGGGGGAAATATGCAAAAGCTACAACAGCTTCGCCTGGATGTATGTAATATGTTAAAAAAAAAAAAAAAGACAATCTGTTCAAGCTAGAGATTTACTGCATGATTACATCGGTGTCGTGAACAGGTGGTCACAACAATTACAATTTGTAACCACATTGCCAAAACCGAAAGCTCCCCCACCCAAAAAAGAATTAAATTTCTATATACACAAGTTCCAAAGGGGCAGTCAGCTATCACTAGAGTCCTATTTTTTGCTCCGCATGCGGCGTTCACACGATATCACCACGTTCCCGTGGGTTTCCCCTGGCAATTGGTGCGATTATGGATTGTTTATGGATTTGAGAATATATAGTTATTGGTATTGCAAGTTATTAATTGTGCATAGATATGTATGGTGTTTAGTTCACGCTTTTTTATCGTAGAAAAAACAGTAATTTTCAGATCGTTTTAAACAGCGCCGTGTATTGGTACCAAAGACACCCACAAAAGTTTTGATCTAAGAAGAAGCCCACAAACTTTTAAAAATGTGCCGGTTAAGTTCGGAAGGTATTGGTTTATTTATGGACTATGACATGCTATATTCATCCATCCACCATCCAACTGCTTATAAATGCATTATAAATACGTATATAATACTAAAAGATCTAATATGGAAAATTTGCAATGAAAATTTAATAGAAAAATGAACATTTTGCTTCAGTGTAACACCAGCCTGTAATAGGCTACTTGTTACATGTCGCCGTACGGTCAGCTCTGCACAGTCATCCTTCGCCCCGACTCCCCGCCCCCAAACAAGCAGCGGGAACCATCCGTCACTTCTGTTCCCCGAAATGCTGTAAGCAGGATACTTCGGGAGCTCTGCTCGTTTCTATCTTTGATCTATTGTGTATGACAGTTTTTGGTTATTGGATTTCTAGTTTTTCAGTTCGCCCCTGCCTGTACTTTCGCTGTTTGGTTTCGATCTCTCGCCCGGTTTTTGCTTTACGTCTTCGCGCGGCCCCCGGACTTTGAGGCTTTGATCATTGTGTGTATTCTGTCTGTGTGTGTCAGGTACGTAAGGAGTGATTGCCATTGTTGTTTTGCGAGCTTATGTTGTATACTGTTGTTTGGATGGGGAGTGAGGCGTAGTAGGCTATTTGTTGTTTTGTTATTTATTTCTAGATAAGTTAGATCTGGGTTGCGTTCGGAAGCTGGATTTTGTTTATTGTTTTGGCTATATTCACTCCTGAGTGCTTTCGCACAGGGTTTATTTGTTCTGTGTAAATCGTGTAAAAAAAAACAGAAAAGTATTTAAAAAATATACCCCTTCGTCCACGTGTGGTCCCTTGTCCACCATACCCGGTTATTTCTTTACTCCACTTTCCCTTTCACTGTTACGCCCCAACCCTAGACTGGGGCTCGCAACACAATCAATATCAGAAATCAAGTCATTCAATAAGAAAGTTACAGATCAAGAACAATTATACATGAGCTTTGTACATTCGACTGATGAATTAGTATTTTGGTATTCTGAAAAAAATATATAGTTACCAGTCTTGTTGTATGAATTCCAGGCTGAAGCAGGTGATAAACAGCTCCTTTACTGGTCGTTTGCTGAGTACCGGTGCTGAACGCTAAGTAACGGTTCAAACCTCATCGACTGATTTAGAACATCTAAGCTCCACCTAACCTTTAAGCTCCACCTAATGTCACTCAAGTATGAGGAGCAAATGTCCACATATTTGTCCGTTTATTCACAATTTATTTGAAGAAACCGTACTTAAAAGCCAGAAAAAAACAGATCACATATTTTGTAATAATATTTTATTTATTTTGTGTCACTGATTTCACCAAGACTGAGTAAGACCCTAACCCTGACAGACTGATCCTGCTCACTGATCCTCAAGTGTAATATTAAACTAAATTATGTAAATTGAACTAGCATTTGTTTTTTGAATACAATGAAAATGGTTAGTATAATTATGCTTCACAATGCACAAATTCCATGAGCCAATCAAATTCAAAGGTAAACCTGATTTGTAAGCCGGTTTAATCAAAGAAAACCTACTGAAAACGGTTGGTTAGCCCATGAGTGGTCTGAACTTTAAAAGGGGGAGAACTTCCCAGACGTAACTGCGTGATTATATGCCATCATCTTCCCATTTCATTTCTGCTGGGAAGGGTGTTTTTCTAAATGACAATACTCACATGCAGTGAACACATACAATTGCACAATAGTTTGGTGAGCATTACAGGAATGTTAACCATATACCATATAAATTCCGCCAACAGTCAATGGGCTTTTATTTTTCAACAAAAATGACATCATAACACTTTTTGGAATTCCACTTTCATGATGCCACAGTGCATACAGACCATATTGTCTCATAAGACTCACAAGAATGAGTCACCCATTTTCGACCCCTTAAAAGTATTTTTCATATTAGCGTAGTATGTGCATTATCAGAAAAAAAGAGTTCCAATTTGTACCTTTGCTTGTCAGTGGGTCTGTTCCCCCGTTTAGAGTCTGCCAGTTGTACCCTGTAGGTAAATGTACCTTGTAGTATAATTTAAGATAAAGAAATGGAATCTGGGTAACATTCCCAATGTATACAAACAACATTAATGTACCCGTAATGGTACAAAAAATGTTCCTCAAAGTCCATTTCTGTACAATTACCTCCAGCTAAGGGTACAGGTGGCAGACCCTTGAGGGTACAGTCCCAGTGACAGGCAAAGGTACAAGTTGCTACCCTTTTTTCTAACAGTGTGTATCAACTTAAAATACTGAACCCATTAAAGGACTGAAAAGTTTCATATCAACATTAATGGCCAGAAAGAAATGAATGATTATTACACATTTTCTGAAAGATGACATTCCATAATTTGTTGCAGATAATAAATGTATTTTTAATATTTTGCAAAGTCCTCTCAAAGAAAAAGAAAAAAAAAGGATACAACCCTGATGAATTTTGTATCCCAAGTTAGGCTACAAGTGAAATTCCTCAGAGTCAAATTCTGTGCCTGTTAAAAAGTATACATGTAGCATGTTAAAAGGTAGCCTACATGTACCTGCAGCTAAGCTACAGCTGGCAGGCCCTTGAGGGTACAGCCCCAGTGACAAATGATCGTTCCCTCAAAGTTACAACCTGCTACCTGTTTCTGACAATGTATGTTTGTTACACAGTAGGTCTATGTTAACTTCACGGTTCTTGGCCGCAAAAGAGAACGGTTGGACTCTAGCATCCTCTGCTGGACAAAAATGCAGTATACGGGTAGTTCTCGCTTTCCGGGTTCTCGGTTTACGAGTTTATATATATTTACGAGAATTTTCTAAGGCAAAAATAAAAGTTTAATTTTTCATAATTAATAAAACTCAGTCCGCGTTGCCCAAAAACGCCGTCCATGGCCTAACGCAGTTTTCAGATAACTTTGCTTTATGAAAGATTTGACCGTGCATAACCGATTTGTACCTATTTATTTAATGACCCATTCTAATGCCGTTAATACACTAAGTTAATTTTACGTAGTGTTTGTGAGCGAGCTCCCTCAGCTCAGAATGGGATACATGAAAGAACACCAAATCTGCTGAAGTGATCATTGTTACAATTTTAGCAAAGAAGTGTTTTTGTATTTTTCCAAGGAGTTTTTTTTTAAAGATGTACGTATATTTTTGATTAAATGATAATTCTAATAATACGTTTGTGTTTCCTTTATAACAAAAATTGGCTGGTCCCAAAGTCATCGTTTTTATATCATTCCTATGTGGAAAATACCTCCCTCCTTACGAGATCTCGACTAACGATCGAGCGATAATTTGGAACGAAATAGCTCGTAAGGTCGAGAAGTAGCTGTATATAATTCGCTTGTAACATTGTAAATCTTTTCCTGTTCGGTTTGCTTATATATTTCCTGAATACAGTTCATAATAACGTATTTTGCATGCTCTCCTCCTGTCATCATGTGGTTTCCACCGGACACCGCTAATGCAACGCAGACGTGCATTTTCAATTAAATATGGGTTTATATGGTTTGCAAATTATTGAATTCTGTTTTTATTTACATTTTACACAGCGTCCCAATTTTTTGGAAACAGAGTTGTATTTATCTGAGTTGTAACGTTACATATATGCTCAGAAATTAAAACAATTTAATATTGCAACATATAAAAATTAAAAATAACACAACAAAAACTAACAAGAATTTCCTAATTTCTCCAAAAAAATACTGATATTTTGTTGGATGGCTAGTTTAATACTGATTAAGTTCTCAAACCTCTCCTCGGGGGTATCCATCCATGTATTTGTTACATTTCACATCCAGCTCATTTAATTCATTAATTCGTTTTAAAAAGTCAATGAGGTACTGATTTATCTGATGTATTTTCTGCAAAAAATAAAAATAAAATGAAAATGATAAAAAGAAAATACAATCTCCACTTTGCCATTTACTTTCCAAAGTATGTGCGCAAAAATCCTGCAAAAATTAAAATTATGATGAAATAGCACCATTTGCATTTTAATTTTCCACTCATGTATGAGTCAGATGTGTAAAATTGAAAAATAAAACGAAAAACCCTTTTTGTCTTTTCATTTTCCAATTTGGCTTTTCATTTTCAAGTTCGCTACATGGAAATATATGTTAATCGGAGCGGGGCGGTGGGCGGAGCTACCGATCACTGCTGCGCTTCTCAGTGCGTTTGCCGATTCCTTTCTTCTTGTGTTTCTTGCCCGTGTCGCCCAAACTAATGGCAAAGTCACACGAAGTTAGCTACTTATTTGCAGCTTCCGATTCATTTAGCTTCTTATTCATAGCGTCTTATTTCGGGGCTTAAGTTACTTCCAGCTTCCTTATAGGGGAGTGTTCGCAGCTGCACATGCGGTACAGTTTTTAGTTAAGACATTTTGAAAATACGAAATTAAATATTATGTCGTGCGATATAATGGCAGGTATGCCATTGTAAGGAAACACTGAAATTAGCCTGGGTCAGACTGCCATGTTTTCAGCTAGGTAGCTATCTGGCCTAGGCTAATTGAAACACAATACACCGTCCATATGCGCCTGCATTAAACTTCGCAACAAGCTGTTCCAGTGGAGGTCACGTGTTTCCTGTCGCCAGTAGTATGCAGACCAACCTTCTTGATCCTAACATTTAGGTCCTGGTAGTCAGGGGTGGAGGAGGTGTCTCACAAGGTTCACCGTCACGGGTAAGATCCGGTTCTTGATACGTTGCTGTTGATTTTGCTTGATTGTTATTAAACGGAACACTCGGTAAAGTTTGTAGGCCGGGATAGGTGCCCCCTGCCCTAATGGGCCCTGGAGCGGTTATATCAAAGCAAATGTCTCTTCAGCCACATCACTGGCATTAGTTCATGCCTGGATGCATGCAATAAAAACGTTTAAAACATTTTAAAACCATAAAATCGATACTTGAACGTTAGAATCAATTCTCAAAAATGAAAGATTAACATCGATTGAATCGATATTTCAGCATCGTATCCTTGATAGTGGACACAGGAAGGTACAACTAAGTTGCAACACATTGGGATATAAAACTTTTAATTAGAAAATAAATATTACATGAGATTTTTTCTTAGCCATAAATCGTTCAGTGCCGCCATCACTAAACATTTGTGCAATAAATTGAAAACCTGTAATTTGGTAGGACTATCCTTTAATTATTCTCAAAGGTTTATGTCTGGGGGGAAAGACAATAATATGCAGTAGTCTTTGCGGACAGATAATATAAAATATATTGATCCCAGAGGAAGTTTCTTCACGAAATTTTGAACTGTGACGAGAAACGGTATTGTTTGCCGGGCTGTCCAATGGCGCCTGCGTAAAATTTAGAGATTTCGATTGGGTGGCTTTCATAGGCCAGTTTTATTTATGGGCGTGACCACGCAGTGCCGTTTCTCTTCTCTGGTTCCGCTTGCATTTGGCTTGTGAGCCAAGAACGTATTAGAATTATTTTCTTACGGTAATGATTAAACATCGGTTTAGTCATTCAGAATGATGTATTTCTGGAATTTTAAGTAACGTTAGTTTTATTATACTACCGCATTTATTTACTACAAAAAATTAATCAACACCCTTCTGACCAATCAGATTCAAGAATTCATCAGCGCTCTGGTATAAAAGTTTTTAAGTGTATTCCGTTGGTCATTATTTACTCACCAAGGGCGCATGTGCAGGAAGCTTTTGCGGCTCTCCCAGGTAATGTGTTTTTTTTAAAAGCTAGTTAATGGATCTGGACAAAACAGCTAAATAGGACAGTTTGGGATTAAAACGTCTGTATTGTACTTATCCAATTAGTTGAGGCCATTGGTACTTGCAATACGTAACTATAAGTGTTGTTTACGTACGCCGTATTGGAAAAGGAACATTTAAAACCGGCTTCACCGGTCAGACGTCGGGCGAAGGCAATTATTCTTGATGTCTGACATTTGAATGTCTGAATGGTTGAACTTTTTAGATAGTCAGCTAAATACTGATATGTTGGCTAAACTGTGTGACTGAGGGGCAGACTTTGCATCATGCAGACCGCTTTCAGCTTCCAGCAGAGGAAAGATGGCCACCTTTCGCTTCGGCTCTAGCTGCTCCCCACGCGGAATTGCCAGCGTCCCTGAGCAGCACTACGACGTGCTGGAGCACGGTAGGTTATCGTTAGCCCAAGAAACGTACGCACCAATTGATTTTCCCTATAAACCAGGGTTCTTCAACTCTAGACCTCGATTCCAAATCCAGGCCGTGTTTTCAGTTCTCCCAGGTAGTTGTTTAATAATTACTGATTCTGATTGGTCAGAGGCTTCACACCTGACTGACAGTTAAAGGAAGGCTGGAAAACCAACAGTGCTCGGACCTCGAGGACCGTGAGTTGAATAACCCTGCTATAAACCATGCACTAATTCTTTAGATGTTGCCAATAAAGTATATAATTTATTTGCTGCAGAGTTGTGTATGTGCTGTGGTATCGTTGCCTGTTGTCACTCGTGTACATTTTTTAATCTAAAAAAAAAACAGGTCCCAGGTCACTACCTGATGTGAAAATGTTTCAAGTGGCCTTATGATGTCCATGAAAGACAAGCTGCATAGTAGTAGACTTTTGTAATGAAAGACTGAATATTTATGCACGCATCTATCAACCTGTTTAGAACCTGGTGTTTGTCATCTTTACCAAAAGCTTCTATAAGATAATTTTTCATGGCCATTTTTTCTGTTTTTTTTTTTTTTTTTTTTCCCCTCATTACACAGGTGAGGAAGATGCTGCAGACCCAAACAGGCTGCTCCAGTGTCCGTATGATAAGAACCACCAGATCCGTGCCAGTCGCTTTCCCTATCACATCATCAAATGTCGTAAGGTTAGTCCTGTATTATCCATTATGGTTTTTCGTCAAGAAATGATTTTAACAGATGGTGTAAGCAGTCTTCTGGAAATGGAAGTTTTTATGCTCTAACGCTTCCTCCTGGTCACCTTGCAGAATCACCCCAAGCTGGCCAGCGAGCTGAAAACGTGTCCCTTCAATGCGAAGCACCTAATAGCCCCACATGAGTTTTCGCACCATATTGCCAACTGTGTGAACAAGCAGGCAGTCAATGCTGATAACTGTAAGGCTATGTTTGATATTTTAAGCCCAAGCTTGTCTGATTGTAGGGGGCGTGTGAATCAGTCTATATTATTGTATTTCGTGTCTAGCTTTCGTATTGCAAACACTTGCTGCTTGTATGTTCCTTTAGCTGGCAGTGCTGAAATGCAGCGAAAGTGGCACGTTCCTGTCAGCACGTGGACAAACCCTGACAATGGGGAGGACTGGGAGAAAGGTGAGTCACGCTGGGGCAGTGGCCTTAACCTCACTGGCCACATGCTGCCCTCCAAGATGTTCCCTACACAGTTAAAGGAACAGTTTGCTTAATGAATATGATGGTTAGGAATTCCAAGTGTTCAGTTGCTGAATGGTGTGGATGTACACTTGCCCTTCTGTTTGGGTTAGGGGTCTGAAATGGGCCAAGTACAGACTGAAAGTGGTCTTTTTTTTTTGTGCATGGTAATAATATGCATTTGTGTTCTCACAGAAAGTGAAGAGATGCCTGAAACCCCTTTTATCTGGGGGGTGTCAAACTGTCAACCTGACAGGTTAGCTACCTGGGGGAGCACACTTCACTGGGTTATATACCAGGTTATGTACTTTCTTTACAAATAATTGATTCTTTCTCCGTAGTACGAGGCCAATTCCAGCTCAATCAGACAAGCCAGTGGGCCTCCGTGCTCCGAGGACTCTGCCTTGGCAGATGTGTGAGTATTTGACTTGTGCACACATGAATTCACTAAACTTTCTGTAAAATCCTTAAACTTTTTTTTTTTCTCTCTCTCATTCCTTTAGAGGCAGTTTTGTGGGCCCCCTGTTCACCTCAGAGGAGAAGCAAAGTGATTCTTTTAATTTTCTTTTAAAGTTTTGCTTTTTAAGCCTTTGCTTTCCAATAATTACAATGCTTTTAATTTCCCCCCCCTTTCACTTAAGCACACGTTTTGAATTTCATCGACACGCATTAAAGTTTCTATAGTAATCTTGTGTCTGGTTCTTTTTACTGCATGAAATCATCCACTGTTATTGGGACTGTTTAGTACTTTCCAGTGTGAATAGCAGCTGGAATTTGATGGGTAGGATTAGGAAAACTGGTACTATTACTTTGGTGGCAAGTATTGGATATAAATAAAGTGTTTCTTTATCTTTATAAAAGCTTAAAAACCTGAATAGGCATTTTCATTTGGTTTCAGCCTCACCATTGAGCTCCAGAACCTAGGGCTGAACACCCATCTCTATAATTGGATCTTTGACATCCTTGCAGGATGCCCATATGTGGTAAATGGCAACAGCTTTACCTCCACCCTACCTCTAAATTGGAGCCCCTTGTGAATGTGCTTTGGGTCCATGCTTCTACTCCTTATTCACACATGACTGTGTCGTCAAATTCCATCACTACTGGTGCTGATCAGCACTGGTAATGAGGCTGCTTACTGGGATGAGGTTAACTCCTTACATCGTGGTACCAGGAGAACAGCTTCTCCCAAAACATCAGCAAGACTATGGAGATGGTTGTGGTTTTCTGCTCAAAGCAGGTACATGAACCCCAATGTATCAATGATGGAGAGAGTTGGTTGCTTCAGGTTCCTGAGGGGTCAGCATTTCTGCAGACCTGTCCTGGGGTCTGTATCATTAAGTTAGAATTCTTGCTCAGCTGGATAACTTGTCAGATTTAAGGTGCCCCAGCTGAAATGGACTTCATCTTGCAGGGTTCCCGCAGGGTCTTAAAAAGTCTAAAATTCAGAAAGTTAAATTCAAGGTCTTAAAATGGCCAGATTTACATCCTAGGTCTTAAATTTAATTTACCCAAGTCTTAAAATTCTTACCTCCGTTCATTCCCAAAAAGCGTTGTCCGGAGAAAATAAAATATTAAATCGCTGTAAAACTAATCCGTTGGTGTTTTCTGGTCTGCACCGGAGTCTGCGTCGTAATAAAACTACAAATCCCATTGCGTGATTACTGCAGCTAGGCAAACAGTTTGAGAAGGGCCTGGCTGCAGAACGTGCACTTTCAGCCACTGACGTCAGGTGCACGTTCAGCCACAACAGGAAGTGCAGGGGAATCAAGCGCTAACAGTTCTTGAGGCCAATGTGAACGGTATGTTTGTTTTATTATTTGTATTACTGAATGACATAGTTACAAGTTTGTTTCAAGCCATACATTATTGCAATGTAAATGTTTTGATGTAACTTTTTTCTCTGATGACTGGAGTGAATTTTTTCAGTTAAAAGGCAACTACTAGCCAGTTGCCTCACGTTATCTTATCATAAAATAAACACATTTCTACTTTTACAGAGCTTTTCATGGAGTTACCTTGTGAATGTCTTATTTTCCAGCATGTATGTCCTGCCCCGCTCGTCCGCTCCTCCCGTGTGCCACGCCCCCTCATTAACCCCGTGTGGATTCCCCGTGTTTATCAGCTGTTTCCAGTTGTTTTCATTATCGTTGATGGGTCTGGAACGTAACTTCCGCCATAGGCGGGGGATCACTATATATTTTAAGGCTTAAACTATAAAAAAGTTTATGTATATGGTCTTTCTATACTCACCTAAAGGATTATTAGGAA